TAAAATGTGGAAAAAATGCTAGGGGAGGCCAGTACAGAAAGCCTATATAGGCTCAGCTCTCTGGAAACCCATTAACACCAGTCACAAGACTGGCAAAGAAAACATTGCTGGTTGTTTAAAAGTCAGGCCAAGTCATTTTACGCAAGATCTGGTAATTCATTAATCAATCTGGCTGCAAACCTTGAATGAATAACCTGAAATAGTGAGAGAGACTGGCAGCCCCACAGAACATGAGGGAGTTTATAATCCGACCCAATGCAAATTACCCTGGCGATGTTTAAGGCTCCTCCTCTACCCTCATCATCTTCCTGATGTAAACCCTTCCAAGTAAATAAGAAGTCATTCATCTCCATGACTTTGCCTGCTGCCAGGGGCAAGACAGTATGCCTTTCGTTGTGCATCTCTTTCTCTCCCCACAGCCTCATTGCTTGTCATACAGCATTTTTTGGCAGCCTGCAATAAAACATAGTAGCCTATTTAGGCTTTCCAAATACATGGCACATTGCACGGCCTTGAAAAGTAACCTGGACTACACCTAAGCAAAACAATTAAAAATAAAGTCATCAAATATGGTGAGCATCTCTCTGGAATACAGCATTATGTAAATAAATGAAATCCACTGAAGGGCAAGCAGACCGGTTTCTGAAGTCTTTCTAAAGGCTAAAAAAAATGTTTTACCAAGTATGAGAATACGACGCTTACAAATCTTTATGGTTTTACTTAAGTTCATTATACTTCAACAGGTTATTGCCTATCTGTAGGCTGCATTTTCTCTTAACGTCAGTTGGGTTATTCGTAAGCAATGCCAACCAAGAGATATCTACTGTGGATATCTTCCCTCTCCGCAATGCTAGGCATGGGTCATACATAATTTTAAGTATGACTAACAGTACGTGCCAGGGTACGGTGTATTTGAAGAAGCCTCAGGGGACAACAGTTTTCACAAACAAAAAGCCTTCTCACTCATGCCACGTTAAGTTGCATAGTTGCTCACGTTTTCACACAGCATTGACTTGGAGATCAAAAAGCTAATCATTCTGATTTTCTAAAAGTAGCCAAATCCATTTTTTTACAAATATAACTTTTGAAAGCCTAGTTTCTTCATGAAAGCAAATCATGAAAGCCATGGAACAGCAAACCCTCTAAATAACCGCTCTTGGGTGACTTGTTAACTATTTACTTCCATGAACTTGTGTCAACAGACAGTGCCCTGGGGGGCAAGAACTCCTTCCTTTTATCTTTCCAGTAGTCAGAACAACAGGCAAAGAAAAACTAGGTGAAAACCAGAAGTGATCAAGCTCCGAATAGCAAGAAACCAACTAATGCATACTACGCGTATGGTACACATTGATAAGAAGAGCCTCTGCGCTGGGGCAGACAGTACAGGCTTGATTTGGGGCTAGTGTCGGTTAGACTGGCACACGAGTAGCATAACACAGTGATGAATTAGGTGCATCTACTAGATACTGGTGTGTTTTAATACTAGGGTGAAGCCCAGTATCTCATCACACCTAAGCGGATGAGAGCAGGGATTTATACTCAACAGTTACATACTATCTAAACTAATTGGATCTTTATCTCACTTGGCTCCTGGCTGCTACCACAACCATTAATAATTTCTAGTCCGTGAGACTCCCAGTGCCACTGGGAGTGTCTAAACTTGTGGGTGCTCGGCTCCAACGAGCTTCCAGCAACATGATTTGCAGAAAGCCTGAAAATTCCCTTTCTGAAATACAAGCCTTTCTTAAAAAAAAATGTACCATCTTGAGACATCCAAGAACTTTGTAAAGGGCTTTTGAACACTGGCCCTCACCTAGACAATGCCACATGTACTGCTTTAATACCTCAAAGGAGGGTGTGCTTCATTCAAGGTTAGGTCTGGTGATTAACACCACACAGCTTGTGCAATTAATGCGGCTCTTGTACTTCCCAACATTTGTTTGCCATTCTGGTTCTCCCCTTTCCACCCTAAGCAGACTGCTTGTTCTTTCAGCCTGGAGAAGAGAAGGCTCTGGGGAGACCTTACTGCAGCCTTCCAGTACCTGAAGGGGCTACAAGGAAGCTGGGGGGGACTTTTTACAAGAGCCTGTAGTGACAGGACAAGGGGTAACAGGTTTAAATTGAAAGTGGGGAGGGTTAGATTAGATATCAGGAAGAAGTTCTTCACAGAGAGGGTGGTGAGGCACTGGAACAGGTTGCCGAGAGAAGCTGTGGATGCCCCATCCCTGGACGTGTTCAAGGCCAGGCTGGATGAGGCTTTGAGCAACCTGGTCTAGGGGAAGGTGTCCCTGCCCATGGCAGGGGGGTTGGAACTAGACAGTCTTTAAGGTCCCTTCTAACCCAAACTATTCTATGATTCTGTGATTCTATTTTTGTATGACAAAGCCTCATCTGGAAGCTGAAGTTAGATAAAACATACTACTCGCATGATGATATGAGAGGAAAAAAAGAGACTGAAAAAAAAAAAGTTATTTTCTTTAAAAAGAAAATCCAATGAAGATCAGTATGGAAAAATCTAGATATTACCAAATAGGAAACTGCACAAAACTTCCCTTCTCTCAGCTAAAACAAATAGTTCCTCGCAGAGTATATGAGACAGCCTCTGGAGAAAGAAGACATCTTCTTCTGTTCTTGAGCACCCCCAGTCGTCACATTACACAGTGGCAGAGGCGAGAAATAGTGCAAGGTATCCAGCTGCACGATGGAGAATGGGGACAGGGTTAATGTATGGGAGGAGAAAGTAACTGTTTCATGCCCATCTTCCTAAGCCAAGCAACCAAGAAATGTAAATATAACATACTGTGAGGCTGAAAGTAGTCTTAATTTTGCACTGCAGTATTGCAAAATGGTATTAGAGCCCAATTCATCCCTACAGGTAAGTATGGGCCAAATGGTGCTGTCAGAGACTCAGCTGAAGCTGGTGAGCCCAAGAAAATCCATGTGTTTGCAAAGAGGACTACAGAATATGCCCATTAGGAAAGAAGCAGCATACTTCATTTCCAAACTGTTATTTCTGACATATTAGTTGCTACGTAGATGTATTCCCCTAGTTGCATACCACCTATTTCTTCACAGTGGGGCAGCTCATCCTCAGGTGCACCCAAACGGGCCCGTGAGAGGTGACGTGCAGTGACCAGTACCTCGTGTCACCATCTCTCAACAAGGTTCCATACAAGCTTATCTGTTTGCCTCGCTGTTTGCAACACACTTTGATTTTCAGAATGGGAATTGTCTCGTATAGGAAGTGACAATTCCTGTACAAGGCGTATAGGGGAATTATCGTTACCAGTATGAGACAATTTTGTACTTGGCAGCTGTGGCCACCAGTGCAGCCAGGTAGTTACGCACAGGGCAAGCAATGAGCCTGTGGTCAAGTTCCACTGGTTTTATGGGAACGATTTGTATGCTTAAGGTTAATAGATGCCTAATTATATTACTTATCAGGAACTTAATATTTTGGAAGTCTGCATCTTCAACTGATTCTTCCATAAGAAAAATCCCTCTGCATTTGGCTATCAATGAATAAGAAAAAATACATCTTGACTATATGAAAAGCGAAACCACTCCCCCTCACCCCAGCTGCAGATGTGTCCACTGCCTCCCTGCTACTGACCGTCCAAACCAGCGGGCCAACATGCTGTACCCTGCCTGAGGCAGTACAACTGCAATTCAGGAATAAGAGGGGGTTTGGAAACTTTGTAAAACAAGGTGTGGAACATTATATCACTAATAAAAAAAGAGGGCCTAAGCACACGGTTTAGCAGAGCTAATTTCATTTTGATTTGAATAAAATTAATTCCAAGTTAGGTGGGTGTAAATGACAGAAGTTGAATAGAGAGGACCAGTTTCTGCTATCAGTTACACCAGTACAAACCCAGAGTAACTTCATCTGCGTGGGGCAGATCACTGTGGATTTAGAGCTGTATATAAAAAAGAAGAATTTCATTCATGACACCTTAGGTAAGCATTCTACTATACTGTTTCAGTTAATCTTTTCCAGCCTTTAAACTCCACTGTGATAATATGGGGCTTCCTCGAGTCAGCGGGCCAGCTGTACCTCCTGGAGCTGCGGTACCTGCTGTGTGAGAGGCAGCACCCGTGGCTTGCTGTTGCACAAGGTCTTGTTGCCAGCTAATCAATTTATTGTCCAATCTCCCAGTCAGTGGACGATCTATGGCATCTCCTATGGTCAAGGAGGGAAGGAGGTTAGGGTTCAGGAGGGGCATGACTGTCCAATAACCACGAGGTGAAGAATCATGAAGGCTTTACACAACGAAAGAAAGGAGACTGGAGACAGAGATCAAGAGACCGTAACCCTCTGCTCATACACCCTGATCCTCAAGGCAGAATTGTAAAGAGAACATTTAAATCTCTCCTACCACCCTTCAACTTTTGCTTCAACACTGCTCTCCACCAGATCTATGAAACATCCCAAACAACGTGCTGGTTCCTGAGCTACTGACAGGACTCGCTGCCTTCTCTGCCACATCCACCCTTTTTCCTTCTTACACATCAACAACAAGGGCCTCTCAATTTGTGTCCAAATGCCTTGCACAGTAATGCTCCGAGTGGCAAAAACCTTCACTAAAATGCTCCAGCTACTCATCAGCCAGCTGCTCTGCTGCACTCCCCTTCTTCCTGGGGAATGGCAAGTGGAAAACAACAAACATGCTTCGACTTTTGTTTTCCTTTGTAGCTGACAACCGTGCAACTCCTTGCCACGACGCCACAGGGCAGTACGCTCTAGGCACTCTTCAGCCATTTGCTTTCAAGAATTAGAAGTTCCATTTGCTTCCTTTCAAGGCTTTTTCTCCCCCTCTCTCCACATCACAGGCCTGGTTTTGATCAAGAGGGCTAAGAGCACCAGTCAGAACCCGTAACGCATACTGCCACGTTTGTTGTCTCTTAACAGGGGAAAAATAGTAAAAGTGTTGTCCACCAGGCTAAAACTAATCAGAAAAAAAAGCATGCAAGGACTTTGCAATGTGCACTCGCCTTACCTCAAATATATTGGCGGGTTCATTGCTGTACTGATTGGAGATGATCTCCGACTGGTCGCTGTACCACTTGAGTCCCCCCAGAAAGCTGTCTGCGTCCAGGTCGTTCACATCTAGTTCGGAGAGGTCAAGTTCTGGGAGATCTGGGCAAAGAGGCTGGTCTTCGCCAACCAGAGCAGCACACTGCAGGAAACAGCAACACAAAAATAGTTTCATTAATTACCAGGAATCTATTAACTTTAATATCATGTGATAAGAATTAAGCTTCAATTAAGATATGGCACAGGGTCACTAGAACTGACTTTGTTTTCTGGGGAAAAAAAAAAACACCCCACCAAGTATTAGACCATTATTCACTCTCTATAGGTATGCAAAGGGGAGAGAGAAACAAGAGGGCATAACCTGCCTTCTCTATCACATCTCTATCCACGGCAATGACTTTCCTTCACCCTAAACTCCTTGATAACAATGTTGTTCAAAGTTTTATTAAATCCAACAGCAGAGGCCAAACCATGGCCTTATTCTCCTGCTTCAGAGTGAAGCAGTGCAGGTAGAAGTTACAGATGAATACCTCTGGGCAAGGTCTGTCACGCATTTCCTGATGCATTCAGGTTAAAGAGGCACAGTCTGTTACAGCCTTCAGCCCTGGAGGCTAGCTCAAGCTGGAGAGAGTGACACTCCTACAGATCCTCACCACAATCCTTGAGGTCAGTCATGATGGTGGCTACCATATGGGCACAAAAAAGTACAGGTCAGTCATGATGCTGCTGTGTGCTTTCCCCGATGCACAGACCACAGCCACCCAGTTACACATCAGGGTCCTGGCAACGGAAGTGAGTTCTGAAATATCCCTACGTTCACCTCGGGGCGACAGGCACAGTTAGCTCACACAGCCTTTCACCTGCCTGGTGTGAACACGCACACTGTCCCAATCAGCTTCCTAAGTGTCCCCAGACTGGGGCTGCAGTGAGGGAACCAAATAGATTATTCTCCTCTGGCAGCCTCTGATTCCGTAATCCTAATGTAGAGGGTCTGTGAAACATTCTGGTTGAGGTAGTAAACAAAGTCTAGTCTGCATGGATCCTCTTCAGCAGTGCAAAATGATTTTTTCCCTGTGAGTTACGACGAGAACAGTGATAAATACAAATAAACCTGCAATAAGTGTTCTTTTATATGCTAGAATGAAACTAGATAAGGTATTGACTGACCTACTAAGCAAGAAAAAAATAACAACACACATCCACTTTAGCATGGCAATTGAAATGTTGAGAGTATCCACCAAAACCATTTCCTAATTATGGAAAACATGTAGTAACAGCTTGGCAAATAGCAGGCTCCCATACATCAACGCTGCCTGATAAAGCAGTTCCTCCTGCGCTGCACCACGTACCCTTGTAACTCGTCTCCGAACACCTATGTGCGTGTGGGTATGCTGCAAACCCACACACAGCTACAAAGGCACCAGGGGCTGAATGGTTAAAAGCCGTGTAAAGTCAGCTGAGCCTAAGGGCTTCCACCCGGAGTATTTCTAGAGGTGAGTTGTGGATGGCCAAGAGCAGGTCCTCCTAGACTCCCGCCAGTCGACTGGGTGGTTTGAACGATTTCCCAACTTATATTTGGACTGAAGTCAACCCAGAAAGTGCCACTTGCCGAAGAGGGATGTCTGTGGGGCGCTAACGCAGTGGCCGTGGATGCGAATTGCTCAATACCGGTTCTGTCACTCTCCCAAGGACCGCCCTTCACAACAAGGCGAGCGGGAGCTGCTGAAGGTGCATTTCATTGAGGTTTTCATCCCTGGGAATCTCGGTGCGCCTGCAGTGCGTGGGCTGGATGCAGCAGCGCAGCCACGAGCAGAGATTCTGTCTGTTGGCACAAAGACTCGGTGCAGCTGGTGTGAGCTATAATTTACCAGACAACTTCTGCGTCTACCAGGACACTACGAGATAATCAGGGAATAGGCCAAGGGGCAAGGGAGCCGAGAGCTGCAAAGCAAGGCTCCGAAATAGCAGTTGCTTTTCTTCCTATTATTTAAGGGGCTGCAGAACTTTAAGGAGTCAAAACCTCACTTAAGTAATTTTCACTGCACACAATTTTTTATCATTATTTTGGTCATAGGGAAAAAAAAAAAAGGGAAAAAAATTAGAGTTCCCTCTTCTTTAGCGCGAGACACAACCTTCCGGCAGCAATCTTATAATGCAGAGATGACCTTTTTTGATGCTTGGCCGAAATCTCCGATCTCATTAAAGGATAATCTAGTTTTTGACTGAAAAGGTAGATTCTCAGCATCATTCTCAGGTTTGTGTTGCGGAGGTCAGTAGCTTATAACTGATGCCGTAGACTTCTGAAGTACCCTGCTGATCTGCTACTGCTTTCGTTTGTAAAAATAGCTTCACTCTGTGAACCCCCTATTTAAACATGTTTACTTTGGGTAATCTGCATTCTGAAGTTCCTACAGTGGGCTTTTGAAGCTACATAAACAAGGGTATTAAAAAAAAACCCACCCTTGCTCATCGCAGCTGCGATTTGCCTATAGTGACTACTGCAATGTCACCTAAAAGAACGTAATTGCTGAAATGAAGTATATATGCTCTTGCCAATGTTGACATGATAATAAAATCAATGTTTCTGAATATGACATTATGCTTCTAATCTGAGACACATTAGTAGCAAGTGTTCCTGTTATTAATTTATATTTGGCCTTTGGATGATGCCAGATTTAACACTCCAAGTCCTAAAACTGTCCTCATCTGACACGCTGGTATTTACTGTTTGCCTATACATCTGTAACAGGTGCACCTGCATCGCCAGCATACATTTTACTGTCTTCCCACTGTTAGTTGATACGATAGTTACTCCATAACTATAGCCTTAATTTTATAGTAATGTTTAGGAGGATAAAGTAGTCACTAAACACAAAAGGCTAATTACTGTGCGTTATTTCGCTCCAACAGACTTTTTTTTCTCTTAGTTCAGGCGCAAACAATAAATTAGCTTAACTGCACTGATGATAATGAATCATTATAATTAAGTATAATTCTCCATTAACCTTTTGGACATTTTTTGTGCCTTTGAAGGTAAATTAAAAAAAAAAATTAAAAAAAGACGACTGGACCTGTGCCATATTAATTATATTAATGAAAGTATAATCTGTGTTTTATTTTTAACAAGTTTTTCAAACAGCCAAGGGGACGAACTCAGGAAAGAAAGAGAAACTTGACAGAATGTGTGTCATGTGGATTCTCTCCATCAGTCTTCACAACCTGACTGTACATCACCTTCATTAAGCTGTGAAGCACTGGGGACGCTGATCAGCTACAGTGATGCAGGCCTTTATTAAGCAACACACCGTCCTGTCATTATGTGAGCGAGAACATAATACATTTTACATTGACAGCAAACATTAATGGTTCAAAAAATTAAAGCTGCCTCCTGTACCTGCTGCCTGCGATATTTTAGATCGGTAAAGGTGATTCCCCCGAACCAAAGCAGCACGCAGACGCTAGTACTGCTACAGGAAGTGCAATGCAGGAGCACGTTGGTAAAATCCTACCCACAGTTAATCCATCCACCACACAATTAATATTAAGATCAAACCTTTTTTTTTCTTTTTTTCTTTTTTTCCACAGCACTATGAAAAAGTCATTGACATAAATTATCTATTCTGTTACTAGCTTGAAATTACTGCAGGAACTCTAGTGATTAAAATAAATCTTCAGTATTTCCATGTAAGCTGGTTCCTCAATCAGCTCCTAGCAGCATTAGGAATAATACATGATGGAAAAACGAAGCTACAGCAGCTGAGACCCATGCTACAAGCCAGACAACAACCTACAGGATACTCCAGCTACTCAAAAACAATTAGGACTTTGGAGCCAGAAAGTCATCCACTTACAGCCTTGACTCATAATAGCTACAGGACATATGAATTATCCATATCTATTCCACTTTACCAAGAAATCAAAACAAGATAAGAGCAATTACAATATGCAAACAGAAATCAGCGGATACAATGGCAAGCTGCAAATATTTAAAACACGACAAAAAGACTCGAGAATCCGCACGCCTGCTCCGCCAGATCGGAAAAACATACTGGAGAACACAGTAACGTTTTTACTGGAGGTGGGTAGCTCTCTAAGGCATGAATATCTTATTTAAAAAGCATCGCCTGTAACCTGTTTTTCCCTCCCCCGTTGCCCGAGGGGAGCATTTTAAGCACTTATTCCAAGCTCACAGCCAGAGGGTTAGTTCCTTCGAGCAGGTCTGTATTTGGGATTCCTCTCCACGGGTCCAAAGAAAGTTTGCCTCGCTTCGCAAGTTGCCCGAACTTTCAGGTAACACTCCATTTTGCTGAATGCAAACACGCAGAAATCCTCAAACCTCACTTCATACTCCAGAGATTACCAGGGAGCTGCTTGCCTTTTTTTTTTTTCCCCCTTTATGAATTGTAGCCAGCAGAAGCTGTGGATTTGATGTATTGCCGTCTATTTTTACACAGGCAGCAGCGGTGGCGGCAGCAGCAGTTCACACAGTCCTGCATAAACTCTACGCTCGTGGTTCATCCTGTTGTCTCTGCTGTACAGTGGGATTTAACCATTTCCTGGACTACTCGGACTGACTGCGAGCCCTGCTCTACGGGACATTAGCTACGGCGTCATTATTCCAGTACCACAAGAAGCAGGGAAACGGCTCCTTCCAGAAATCTCTTTTCAAAAGCATCTCAAGCCAAACAACAGGGTTTTCATTCTTGTGTGCGTGTTTGAATTCTGCAGCTGACAAACAAGGGGGAAAGCTTCGACAGAGCACTGCGAGACATGCGATTAAAATATGAAGCTGTTGGTTAATTTTAACTTTAAAAAAAAATGTTAATCTTATTCTAAATAAACATGGCATTTTTCCAACCAGGCCACTAAACGCCACTGGAAAGACTTCAGACACCGATTCCTATCAATATCTTGGAGCATAAATATTGCATATGACGGGAAAGCGAGCCAGAGGCACATGAACATAGTTTCCAACGGCAGGAGATACCGATGACAGGAGCTCAGCTTTGATTTGCTCAAGGCATCGCAGAGTAACCCTAAAATAGCAAACTTAGCGGAGTTGCGATAAGAGCGGGACTCGGTCGCGAAGTCGGCCGCCTCGGCAGCCCGGCCG